TTGGTCCTTAACCCAGCGCCCCAGTACGGGATCCCCTTCTACCTGCAGTACCTGGCCCACTGGCCCGAGTATTTCGTGGTCGCCGAGGCGCCCGGCGGGGAGCTGATGGGTTACAGTGAGTAGCTCCGCGGCACCGGCTTTCCCCGTGTTACCGTCTCATCGCGTCGTGTGTTTATATATCGTGGAATCACAGAGTGGTGGGGGTTGGAAGGGACCTCAGGAGATCATCTGGTCCAACCCCCCTGCCAAGGCAGGTTCCCTACAGCAGGTTGCACAGGAAAGTGTCCAGGTGGGTTTTGAACATCTCCAGAGATGGAGACTCCACAACCTCCCTGGGCAGCCTGTCCCAGGGCTCTGTCACCCTCACAGGAAATAAGTCTTTCCTCATGTTTAAGTGGAACCTCCTGTGTTCCAGTTTGTGCCCATTGCCCCTTGTCCTATCGCTGGGCACCACTGAAAAGAGTCTGGGATAACCCAAGAGCTTTTCTTACTCTTCATATTTTCCAAATACCCCATAAAGAAGAGGAACGTTTTGCAGCATCTTCCCATTTCATACATATCTAAGGGTACTTATGTAGGACTCGTAGCAGTAGTTTTTGGTTTGATGTTCCTAGTGCAGTGAGGACTCCTGACTGTGGTGATGTTCACCCAGGTTTTATACAGGTGAATGTATGCATGCAAGCGTTTCTGTAGTCCTGGAATTAAGTCCCTGCAGTTAGCTCTGATCTAACACGCCATCAGTCATCAGTAAGTAAAAATGCCAGCCTTGGGTTTTGCACTGAACTTTAAGGGAAAGGCCTGGATGTCATTTGCTTCCTTGCTGTGGAATATTCCTGCTTTTCAGCAATCATTCCAAATAGAGCTGTTGGTTTGTTTACTCCTTCCAGGTTTTTTTTTCCCTCTTTTGGGGTGAGGCGCAGAATAAGTATTTAATATAATAAAGCTTAAAGGATTTGCTGTACAGAAGGTTTCTCTGTTCCCACCACATCAATTGCTTATTAGCAGTGACCGTGATGTTTAGTGTAGAAGTGTCAATATTTGTTAGTGAACCAACACTGTCTTGGCTCTGTGTTGAGAGGAACTACAAAGAAGCCCCCCCAGAACAACAACCCCTCCCTCCCCCTTTTTTTGCTGAAACACACCGCGTTTGTGGGGCCTTAGCTTTCTATTGACAGATTGGCAAAGCTTCCCAAATTCTATTCTCCCATAGTCCCCTAAAGTCTCTAATAGCTGCTGGATGGTGTTAGTTTTGGTCTCTAGTTCTCCTTTTCTCCATTATTTTAGCCAGATCCTGAATTCTGCTCAGTTAAAGACTCATAAGATTTGCTTAAAATTTGCATTTGGAAGTCACAACTCAAACAATGAATTTGCAAAAATTATTTATTTTTTTAATACTGTAATATTACTTGAGCAAAATGACATTTTTAGTGGTTGCTGAATGACAGAGTGATAACAGACATCCCTGTTTGAGCCTTTACCGCGGTCACTGCAATGTCTGTTGACCCAGTGCTTGGTTCTTTTGTAAAGATGTATAGCTGTGGGTATGTACACGTGTAGGTGATGCTCTGTATGTTCGCAGTCATGGGTAAGGCGGAAGGCTCTGTGGCTAGGGAGGAATGGCACGGACATGTCACCGCGCTCTCTGTTGCACCAGAATTTCGACGGCTGGGTTTGGCTGCTAAATTGATGGAACTACTGGAAGAAATTTCAGAAAAGTGAGTACAATGCTTATCTTTAAATTTATCTTTTAAAGTAATCTTTCTACGGCTACTTGTCTATGGCTTAGATATTTGATTTGCATGAAACAGACCCAGAATTTTGCTTTAAGTAGTGTTCTGATTTACTGAAATTCCTTGTAGTTGGAGAATAAGAATTATAAATGTTGCTTGGTGGTTTAAAATCTCAGGGTTTCTCTGAAAGCGATCTTGCCAGAACGGGTAGGAAGTAGCCTGAATTCCAATAGAGATACTGTTTAAAAGGTCCTTTTCTTGTCAGAGCTTTGTGAAACATCAACGCTGTTTTCTGTAGGGCCTCCAACCAGTAACTGTGGGCTTTGTGCAATTCCCTCAGGCACAATCTTGAACAAATTTTGTACAGCAGACAGTCTCTTAGCTCGCTTTCCATCTCATGCTTGGTTACTTGTACCTGCAGAAAATTTAATATAGAGTCAACTGAACCCACAGGGAAATGTTCCCAACTCATGCTGGTGGGGTAGCCCCCTTAAGTTTGTAAAATCAGAAAACAGTATGACGTTTTGAAAAATTGCCTTGTGAGGAGAAGAGCTGTCTCCTGTTAGGCAGCTGGATTTTGTGACTGATTCCACCCCACACCCTGTTCCTGTGCTTTGAAGGAGGCAGTCCCTAAGCCAATGCAATCTAAAATGTGGATTTTTAAAAAATATATATATAAATTTTTTATGGATATGAGTGTTGTGCGGGTGTTTTAGCTTGCCCTGTTCTTCTGTTCATAATTCTGAACCCACTGGCTGGTGTAGAAGAATGGTCCTGTGACAAAAATGAAATGAAATTTGTGTCTGTGCTGGATTTGTCCTTTGGTAAAGGAGAGCATCTGTTATTACAGTGTGAAAGATGTTTGATTAGCGTAACCACATCATTAGACCTGCTCTTGGTCTGATTACAAGTTGTGTGTTATTATTTAAAAATATGTTCACCTACTATTCCTTACTATGGGGTTTTGTTTTTATTTTTTCAAAGAAAGGGTGGATTTTTCGTTGATCTCTTTGTGAGAGTATCAAACCAGGTTGCAGTAAATATGTATAAGCAACTCGGCTACAGCGTGTACCGGACAGTGTTAGAGTACTACTCTGCTAGCAGTGGGGAGCCAGATGAAGATGCTTATGGTAAGTCCTTGTTCTGCTTCAAGTTGAATGGAAAGATTCTCATCTTGGGGGGTCCTGGGCTTGTTTGTATAATTATTTTTTTTTTTTAATATGACACAAGTTGAGGTAGTTGTTGATGGATGAGATTTTGTGTACTCCTTTAGACGGCTTTCCTACTGAAGACTACATCGGCTACAAAACTTAATCTTGCAGCTTACATGTTTTGTAGCATGTGTGGCAAAATAAACTACAAAACAACAATAAATGAGTAAGCAGAAAGACATTTATCCTGTAGGTAAGATGAAAATACAAATGCAGTTTCTTTCTGAGGGATGCTGATACCTGGTGGCTGGGCTTTTGCTGATGTTACTGGGGGAAGGAACGGCAGGGCTTTCCTCATTCATTCCCATAACAGGGACTTGAAACTCTTGCTTTTCTCAGATGTCTAACTACAGATTTAGTAGTCAGTGTCAGTGGTCAACAGTGGCAGAGGATTGGGTAGCATTTTCAATTTAAAAGGGAAGGAACATGGAAATTCCAAGTATGTTAATGTTAATTCTGTTAATAAAACTGAAGTACCAGCTGCTTCTTCTTTCTAGATTATGTTTCCTTTAAGCATTGTCCCCAAAGGGTTACGTGCCCATGCTGTGTATCTTTTCTGTTCTTGTGCTATGCATTTTATCTGCAGGAGTACTATGAAATGCAGGGACTACAGACAGGTATCTGCCGTTGTTGCAGGTGCCTTAAATCCTGTATTTGTCCCTTTAGCCTGCCAATTCCTTTCCATTCAGTTGAGTTTCATGCAGTGTTATATCCCAGCTGATAACATGGGATCCTAAACTCTACTTAGTTTTAGGTAGTCCTGTGAGGAGCAGGGAGTTGGGCTTGATGATCCTTATGGATCACTTCCAATTTGAGATATTCTATGAGTCTAGGAAATCTTTTTGATTAAAAATTATCTTATTGTAATAGAGAATTTACTTAATAGAGCTTTGTGCAATGACTGTCTTATTATAATAACATTTATTTTCTTTTGTCACAGATATGAGAAAAGCTCTTTCCAGAGATACAGAGAAGAAATCAATTATACCTCTGCCTCATCCTGTGAGACCAGAAGACATTGAGTAACTGTAAGCTGTGATTCTTAGCCAACTTACTAAGAGTGTCAGGTTCCTTCTCCCCCCAGCCCTCAAGAACTTACGGAGGAGAAATCTTAGGCCCAATGTTTTTCCCCTCAAAATACCAAAAAGCAATATTGAGAAGCTTACTAATGCTGCTTCTGTTGGTAATGGCTGCATACTCCTGCACTTACCCCATTACTTTTATTTTTAAAAACATTGGAAATTCAGAGACTATTAAAATGGAATTACCTCCTGTATGGTGTTTTCCTGGTTTTCTTTCAAACCAAAAAAAAACCCCTGAAGTCAGTAATAGTAAAAAAATCTTCACGTGCATTTATTCATGACCAATGAAAATACTGTACAATACCCAGGAAACACAGCAGGGGAAGGCAGCGTGTTAATACTTGCATAGAAGATGAACCTGTTATACTTCATAATGTAGAAATGTCTTTCCCTTCTTCATGGCACAGGCATGGGACTGAACTTGGGTTCCCTGTTGATTTGAAGAAACCAGACAGCCATAGTAGTTAAGGCTTCCTCTCCACTGTAGACCAGATTCAAAACCAATTCTGTGTTCAGGGTGTTCATGTGTACCTTAACGTGCTGTGTCTGCTGAAGTAAAGGTTTCTTGTTTTCTTACAGTCATCTTGCTCAATTTCAAGGTCAGCGTAAGTTTCCCAAAGAGCCTGCAAAAGAGAAGTCTCTCCTTACGTTCACTGCATCTTCACTCCACCCTGTATCTAACACTGAGATACCCCAGTTTATTTGTTTAATGGAGGAGCAGGAATAAATGTGGAATTTGCAGAAATTAAATTCAGAGATCAGAGTGTTAATTGACCATACAAGCTTGGATTAAGACTAAGTAATAACAAATCTTGTGCACGTAATCCATTTATTTTACTCCTGTAAGCACGTTTCTCCCTCTGTGTTTTATCATGGGCTTTCTAGTCCTGTGTACCCAGGTGCTAACTTAGACGAGATACAGGCTAAGTATGGTCAGCAGTTGTGTTCAGGCTGGTAGATGATTTATGTTTTAATTAGCCACACTGTGTAATAATTACTGGATTTTATTCCCGTTTTTCTTCCATCCTTATATCCAGCCTTCTGTCCCTTTTTTCTTCTCACTTTGTCTGATGTCCTGTCTTTTGTGTTCCTCTCGTGTTCTGTCTGCTCCCTTTCCCATTCCCCATCACTATTTTTTTTTCTTTTTAAAAAATGCCCTGTGCCTGTTCTTTCTCTCACCCATTCCTCTGTCTTGTGCCATGTGCCATTTTTGAGGACATGGAAGTGACATCAGGAGTGACAGGTTGTGAAAAGCACGATCCTCCCTGACCCTATTTCTTCATCTCACCATCCTTTTTCCTGTACCTTTCTGTCTCTGCTGCTCGCTCCTCCCATGTCTTCCTTTTCTCTTTATAACCGTCTGTCCTGCTCCCCTTCCCTCTCTTTCTCCATCCTTCTCTGCTGCTCCTTGCCCCCGTCTTTGTCTCTCCCCAGTCTCTCTGTCCTTGTCTCCCTCATCTCTCTATCCCTCTGTCCTTCTTGTGTCTCTACCACTGCCCAGCTCACTGTCCCACCTTCTGTCATTCTGTCCTGGTATCCTGCTCCCTGATCCTCTGTCCTTCTCCTCACCCCCTGCCCTGTTTCTCTCATGCTCCCTCTTCCTTTTTTATTCTCTGCTCTGTCCTGCTCCCCGTGTGTCCTGGTTTTTATTAACCGGGGCTGACTGGAAAGGGCAGGATTCTCTCAGGAATCGCTCAGGCTCGCTT